GGTGTGGGGGTTCCGTCATCAATGTTGTCGTTACCGCCGCAGCCATTGATGTACCGCCACAATGCCTTACACACTGCCACTGACGGTTTGTTCCCACAGGAACGCCACCAGGCAACATCAGCAAGTGCCCTGCGGAACCGCAGGCGGGTAGCCAGACGGATGGCCGGTGGCCATCGCTTGGCGGGCAGCGGGATGGACACACAGGGGTCATGCGCACAGCTCTTGGCGATCCTGTCGCCTCTGCTGCCGCTACTGATGCTGCCATTGGCTGGTGCTGCACCCTTCATCGTCTCGTGGCAGACTCGACTTTTTTACGCCTGCGCTGCGTGCCGCCTGTGCGCGGCCAGCAATCGAGGTGGTGTCGGTCCCGGGAAGAGGGCCCGCCTGCAGCCACGCCCGCCGCCTGCGCCCATGTCATCGAAAAGCATTACTGTTGGCTACATGCTTCGCGCTTGCCGTTGTGCTTCATGCGCTGGAGCCTCGGTGAGGACTGAAACCCTGCTTGCTGGTGGTGAAGTACAATGCAAATCAGGCCGAATCATTCCCCGCTCTCAATTGTGCAGTTTTCCAGGTGCAGGAAAGCGGGACACTGCGATAAGCAACGAGGGCCCAAAATATGCCATAGGATCTGCCAAGCCATCTCTTGTGGGTTCAGAGAGGCTTGCGGTCGGCGCGCACGACGCGGGGTAGAAGGGAAGCCGAGGGGGTACAAAAATTCAGCAGCCAAGCGGGGTACAGCGTGCCATGGAACGCGCATGCCCGACCTTATATGCTCGTGCTGCCCCAACCTGGTCCTCATGACTGCCTGCTGATCACATACACCTGCACTTCTGCTGTCTCTGCCGCGCCTGAGAACGCGGCCGCGGGCCCCGCGTCTATGTGACGGGCCCCTGCTCGCACGCCTACGCGTCCAGCACGCCCGTCGCGGCCGCCGTCGCGGTGGCCGCGGCCAGGCGCGCCGCCTGCCGCTCCTTTTTCTCCTTCTCGCGCCGCCCGCCGCGCGCGCGGCGCGGCTTGTCGCCGCCCTCGCCCCCCTCGCCGTCCTCCGCGAAGCCCTCCCCAAAATCCTCCCCCTCGTCCCCATCGTACCCCTCCTCCCCCTCATCCTCCCCATCGTCATC